TTTTGATGTTAATTAATTCATTGCATTTAATAATTTCTTATATGTATTAGCATCAATTAATAAGGTCTTTTCACATCTTAAGCACAAATATTTCCCTCCATAATGACTTACAACACACAAGACAAATTGCTAATATATGGACACGTGTATATACGTATTATTTCAACGTTGGAGTTTTTTTTTTTTATTTTGGAGTCTTGCGCCTACAATTTCTTAAATATATTGGAGTTTTGTTCATAGAAAATGCAATAACAAGACTAGTAATAGTAGCAAACTCTAGGTTGAAGATGGTCAATTTCAAAATACCAAACGGATTACTAAATGCTTTGGTTAAAGGAACAGTGGAACTCACTGGTGTCATACTTTTATTTCGTACATTATTTAAATAGAAAAAATAGAATTTTTAGAAGTAAATAAATATAAAATTAAATGAAAATTTTTATGTAAAAGCCCAAACCCATACTTGAGATCCCGAGAATATAACCCAGAAGTAGCATAACAAAAATATACTGAAATTTATATTTTAGCATAAGCAATTTAGAGTTTAGGGTTACATTCCTTATACAGTTTACTTTAAATGCCCAATAAGATTACGCAAATACCCTTGAAAAACTTAAATGAAAATGACTAATAAAGAAAATAAATGTGATCGACCTCTGCTCAAAACTGGGGAAGCAGAGAGGAAATCTTCTAACTAGTTTTCTTGTTGTTCAGGATCCGGGTCTTGATCGTCGTGATATGAAATTGTTAATAATAAAGGGTGAGCTAAACTAGCTTAGTAAGAATATCAACGACTTGCCACTGATCCGAAAAATCAAAGGGCTGTAGAAAACACAAAACAACAAACGGAGCTCGTTCTTAATAAAACCCGTTTAATTGAAAACGTTAATATTTTCTCAACTCGCCTGTAAATTCCTGGATGTCATTTATTAAGGTAAGAATTCGAATAAGAAGCTATTAGCCAACACTTGCTTATAAGTAGATTTCCTCTCACAATTATGTAGATAATGATTTGACATTGGAGATGCACAATATATCTTAAAGAAAGAATAATATATTTTTACATAATCCATCTAGATGCAAATAGACATATGCTTGTGAATTTCTTTTTTCTTTTTTTTTTTTTAACGAATCTTCTCGTGACTTTAGACACTTTAATGATAGAAATTGACCAAAAACTATGGATAATGCCAGGACGCAAGTGAGGAGATAATTTTGCCTATTAATTTCAACCCTATTATTTACTGGACTCAGAGATATAATTTTTCTAAAAACTATGAAAAAAAAAGAATTCTTGAGAGCAAAACTATGAGGAAATTTAATGATTCGATCCAATAATTAAAAGCATTTTTTATAAGAATTTTACATTATAATAATCAATTGTTGTATATATATAACATGGATAATTTATACACGTATTTAATGAGGCGAATTAGCAGCAACTAAAGCACAATCCTCCCAGATTTTCTTGCCATTCGCAAGAATTTTAGACCTGTCTCCTTTAATAGTAGGGTCGTCGAGAATTTCCTCAACAAAAGCATCGTGACAGGTTTTATTCATTTCTACGAGTGTCAAACAACAGTCACCGGTAATTGTTCCTATATCAAATAGAGCTGAATAGATCTCATTTCCACAATGTGCAGTCATCCTTGATGCACATCCGTATTTCTCAATCAATTCTTCTTGCGCAAATACATGAGACATTAGCATTAAAGCACTTGTGATAAACAAAATCATATAAAAATAATTTGAGCTGCGTCCTGCCATTGTATTTAATAATTAGCAAAACTCTAGTTTTGTCTACTCTTTGGTTGCTTATGATCTTTCAGATAGTTGCAATTAGTGAGAGAGAAATTCCATTTATACACGACAAGAAAGAACACAATTTATTTTAGCATTAAATTTTTCAGTTTCTTCTTCAATTTTGATGTTAATTAATTCATTGCATTTAATAATTTCTTATATGTATTAGCATCAATTAATAAGGACTTTTCACATCTTAAGCACAATTATTTCCCTCCATATTGACTTACAACACACACAAGACAAATTGCTAATATATGGACACGTGTATATACGTATTATTTCAACGTTGGAGTTTTTTTTTTTTTTTTTTATATTGGAGTCTTGCACATACAATTTCTTAAATATATTGGAGTCTTGCGCATACAATTTCTTAAATATATTGGAGTTTTGTTCATAGAAAAGGCAGTAACAAGACTAGTGATAGTAGCAAACTCTAGGTTGAAGATGGTCAATTTCAAAATACCAAATGGATTACTAAATGCTTTGGTTAAAGGAACAGTGAAACTCACTGGTGTCATACTTTTATTTTGTACATTATTTAAATAGAAAAATAGAATTTTTAGAAGTAAATAAATATAAAATTAAATGAAAGTTTTTATGTAAAAGTCCAAACCGATACTTGAGATCCCGAGAATATAACCCAGAAGTAGCATAACAAAAATATACTGTAATTTATATTTTAGCATAAGTAATTTAGAATTTGGAGTTACATTCCTTACACAGTTTACTTTAAATGTCCAATAAGATTACGAGAATACCCTTGAAAAACTTAAATGAAATTGACTAATAAAGAAAATAAATGTGATCGACCTCTGCTCAAAACTGGGGAAGCAGAGAGGAAATCTCCTAACTAGTTTTCTTGTTGTTCAGGATCCAGGTCTTGATCGCCGTGATATGAAATTGTTAATAATAAAGGGTGAGCTAAACTAGCTCAGTAAGAATATCGACGACTTACCACTGATCCGAAAAATCAAAGGGCTGTAGAAAACATAAAACAACAAACGGAGTTCGTTCTTAATAAAACTCGTTTAACTGAAAACGTTAATATTTTCTCAACTCGCCTGTAAATTCCTAGATGTCATTTATTAAGGCAAGCATTCGAATAGGAAACTATAAACCAACACTTGCTTGTAAGTAGATTTCCTCTTACATTTATGTAGATAATGATTTGACATTAGAGATGCACAGTCTATCTTAAAGAAAAAATAATATATTTTTACATAATCCATCTAGATGCAAATAGACATATGCTTGTGAATTTCTTTTTTTTTTTTTTTTTTTACGAATCTTCTCGTGACTTTAGACACAATAATAATAGAAACTGGCCAAAAACTATGGATAATACCATGACGCAAGTGAGGAGATAATTTTGCCTATTAATTTCAATTCTATTATTTACTGGACTCGGAGATATAATTTTTCTAAAAACTATGGAAAAAAAAAAAGAATTCTTGAGAGCAAAACTATGAAGAAATTTAATGATTCGATTAAATAATTAAAAAAAAATTTATAAGAATTTTACATTATAATAATCAATTGTTGTATATATATAACATGGATAATTTATACACGTATTTAATGAGGCGAATTAGCAGCAACTAAAGCACAATCCTCCCAGATTTTCTTGCCATTGGCAAGAATTTTAGACCTGTCTCCTTTAATAGTAGGGTCGTCGAGAATTTCCTCAACAAAAGCATCGTGACAGGTTTTATTCATTTCTACGAGTGTCAAACAACAGTCACCGGTAATTGTTCCTATATCAAATAGAGCTGAATAGATCTCATTTCCACAATGTGCAGTCATCCTTGATGCACATCCGTATTTCTCAATCAATTATTCTTGCGCAAATACATGAGACATTAGCATTAAAGCACTTGTGATAAACAAAATCATATTAAAATAATTTGAGCTGCGTCCTGCCATTGTATTTAATAATTAGCAAAACTCTAGTTTTGTCTACTCTTTGGTTGCTTATGATCTTTCAGATAGTTGCAATTAGTGAGAGAGAAATTCCATTTATACACGACAAGAAAGAACACAATTTATTTTAGCATTAAATTTTTTCAGTTTCTTCTTCAATTTTGATGTTAATTAATTCATTGCATTTAATAA